AAAAAAAAATAGTCAATCTGAAGAGGGTAATAAAGGGACAAAAAAGAATATAGAACAAGTGGGACTAGGAATACAGCTCAGTGCCTAAGTGATTGCCTAGCATGTGTGAGGCCCTGGATTCATTCACTAGCATGGGATAGGGAGACAAGACGGACAAACAGCAAATAGGCAGATTTAAATCTAAAGATACTAGAGAATATATAAAATCTAAATGTGTTAAAGGCCTCAGAAAAAAAGGCAAAGACTATCAGAATGGAAAATAATGACAACAGCGTGGATATATATCTATATATACATCCTTATCACATATACATCCATGTATATATATGTGTGTGTACACAGATTCACATTTCTTAAAAATATAAGGCTAAAAAGGCTGATATATGATGACAGAAAAAGATATATCATTCAAGAACTAACCAAAAAGAAAGCTGATTTAGTTATAACCCCTCACAAAGAATGAAAAAATAGTTAAAATTAGAAGGACATTTCATTAAAGTTGTCAACAGGCTGYATTCATCAGGACGATATAATACTTCTAGATAGGTATCTCTTAATTACATAGCCTTGTGTATGTAAAGTAAAAGAAGACATTGACAAATCTACAATATTTGAAAGTTCTTAAGCAGAACAAGCTTTTTGCCAATCTTTTTCAAAGTCTCAGAAAAATTCTGCTTAGTTTAACTAGAAAATCTGAATAGTCCTTATATCTACTAAGAATTTGAGTCCATAATGAAAAACTTTTCCATAAAGAGAACTCTAGAAATACTGAGCTTCACAAGTGAACTTCATCAAACATTTAAGGGCAAATGAAAAAGGAACCTTCTTAGCTTGTTCTGTGAGGCCATATGACCTTGATACTAATTCCTAATAAGAATATTATAAGAAATGAAAATCATAGGCTATCCTATTGATCAAAAGAGATGTCAAATTAATTCATACTAAAAAAAGAGAGGAGACAAAAAAAAATCTGTTGGATGCAAAACAGACAAGTGATCAGACTCAAGAAGCTGAATCTTATGCTAACAATGGAAAAACCCAAGAAACAACTCAATTTACACTGTCTAATTCATATAAAGCTCAAAAACAGTATTACAAGTAGTAAAGGAAGATAGGGGTTAAGATGGGACTTCAGAAACAGGAGGACTGGCTGAAATCTATTCAGTTAGTTCCCTGTATTTTCTTTCTAGCTGTAAATATGTTTGTAACTCCCTTTCCACATCCTAACAGATATAGGAATAACRTATATAATACATGTGATACATATAAAACAAAACAAAGATTAAATGTCAAAAATACTGGATACTAAGCCCCCCCGGACTATTATTCCCACWGGGCTACCCACATGTTGACAGCCAGGTCTTCACCTTAAGCAAGGGAATAAAAGAATCATTTTGGAACATCAAGAAGAGAAGAGCTAAAGACCACAAGAATTTTATCCAAAATGGCCTACATGGATTGTTATACAAGTCCAACCACTTCCAATCAGCATTTTTTAGTTTTTTTTTTTTTAAGATATTGATGAACCTTTATTTTATTTATTTATTTATTTATATGCAGTGCTGAGAATTAAACCTAGTGCCTCACACATGGTACGCAAGAACTCTATCAYTGAGCCAAAACCCCAGTCCCCTAATCAGCATTTTAATACTCTACTATAAAATGTGAATAGTTGGGGGGCTGGGGATGTGGCTCAAGCGGTAGCACACTCGCCTGGCATGCGTGGGGCGCTGGGTTAGATCCTCAGCACCACATAAAAATAAAGAGCTTGTGTGAGGCTCTGGGTTCAATCTCTGGTAGGCAAATCAAAAGTTTGAGGCCAACCTTAGTAAGGTAGTGAGATCCTGTCTCAAAACAAAAAGTAAAAAAGGACTGAGGATATAGCTCAGTGATAAAGTGCCCCTAGTTGCAATCCTCAGTACACCATCGCCACCACCAAAACAAAAACACTTCTCAGCTAAATAAAACTAGAGCAGGATATAAAACAGGCATGAAGAACCAAAAGAGAGTTCCTAGAATTAAAAGCATAAGGTTAGGGATATAGCTCAGTGACAGAATGCCTGCCCAGCATACTTGATTGAGATCCTAGGTTCAATCCCCAGTACGAGGGGAAAATTTTTTTTTTTTTTAAAGAGAAAGTGAGAGAGGAGAGAGAGAGAGAGAGAGAGAGAGAGA